TATTCTTAATTACTCAAATAAAATAAAGAGACAATTAATCACAAGTAAGAGTTTTAATTGTCCAGTATTACTAAGAACTACATTTTGTTATTGAGATAAACAATGCTATTATCTCTTCTTCACTTTACATATTTCTGTTCTGTGCAAAGTATTTGAGACCATCCAAACTGCAAAAAGAAATATGGATAAATTTATGAGTACAATGTGGCCTTGAAGCTAATAATTTTTTTATGAGCTTGTATTGGGTCTGACTGAGCTGGAGATAATTTTCCCCATAGCAGTCCTTGCGGTGCTGTGTTTTGTATTGGTGGCTAGAAAGGTGTATGGTAACACACCAGTGTTTTGGTTACTGCTCAGCAGTGTTCAAATAACACCAACACTGTCTTTCCAGAATTTCATTCTGTCAACAGTAAGCTAAGGGTGACTAAGATCTTTGGAGGGGATGTACCAAGAGCGTACAAAAGAGTGTACAAAAGAGTACCAAGAGTACTCACAAAAAAAAGGTAAGAGAAAGGAGGAGAAGAGGGAATGATAGAGCAGCTTTGGTGGGCACCTGGCATCCAGCCAAGGCTGACCCATCACAGAGTTAGAAAAATGGCTTGAAAGTCTCATTTAAAGAAGAAAAACCCTTAGTCTCTTCCTTTTGGTTCCTCACTGACCATGAAGAAGTGGCCAAAATGACCAAGTGGAGAGAGATGTTACCCTCATTTAGAAAATGTTGATTCCTTAATTTCTAGGTTCATGCTAAATTTAATTATTAAAAAGTTGAATTTGTCTTCCTTTAAAGACAAATACAATTAATATTTAATGAGCAGTCTCTACTAGGTACCTACAGTGTTGGTATTTTGTGTTGGTATTTCAGATATATATATCATGGTCCTCATTTGGAAAAAGGATGTGTAGTAGACAGTTTTTTCCAGTAGTCAGTCAATTCTGAGGTTCTCCAGTAACACTCACTTTCACTTTATTTCCCTCTGTCTCATTGTACTGATTTAAGAGTTGGACTTAAATCATGTGATTCATGAAAGACGAATTTGGAAGTTTGAACAAGGGCTGGGAATGGTCTCAGCAATCCTTTGAATATCAGAATGGAAATGCCAGTGATAACTGAAGGTTAATTCAAATTTAATCCAAACTTCTGGGTGGGCTAAGATGAGCTGGAGTCTTCGTGTAAGTCTGAACTGTTACATTTGTCTCAAGTCAGATCCTTCAGAAAAAGATCTAATAAATTATAAACATAAAAGAAAACTAACAGAGAGGTGATGAACTTCTCAAAACCACTTATCAAAGCTGCCTGTAATATTATTTTGAATTGTGGAATCACCTTAGGCGCACCAATTCATTTTGTATAATCTGGTTTGCACTTTATTTTTAGTGTAGCAGTGGGATGAATTTAAAAGGGCAGCTCTTTCCACAGTTTCTGATACATTTAGAGTTGCATTCAAAGAAAATGAATGCAAAATTTTTTTTTTTTATTAAAAAAGAAATTATTCTTGAGAGGAGCTGTACACAAATGCTATTCAAGTTGTTGTGGGTTTGCCAACCAGTGCACCCCGGGACTGAAAATAGTTTTTCCAGGTGAATTTCAGAGCCAAACCAATCAAAAGTTTTAGTAACGCCTCTGCCAATTACATATTTAAGAAAATGGAAGAGAAGCTGGTTGCACAGAAGGAAAATGGAAGAGCCAGGTGGCAGCCGGCCCTGTTGGGTTCGGGTGTGCGCCACCCCACGGGCCATGTCTGGCCCGGGCAAGGGGACCAGGCCCCCTTCTCTCCTGTAACAGAGTAGAGAAAAAAAAACCTTTAGAGAAGAACTTGGACGAGATGTATTGCAAAGAGGGATTACAGGCAGAGAGAGACAGCAAAACCTCCAAGGTCAAAGCTGGCAGACAGAGGAGCGAGAAGCCCAAAGAGGGCGGGGCTCCTCCCCTCTCTCTCTCTCTCCCCTTCTCTCCCTTCAGCAGGGAAAAGACTGAAAGCTACAAACCCTTACTGTCTGTGGAAGATTACTGGGGTGAGGAGACTCCACTGCAGCTCATGGAGAAGCCTACACTAGAGCAAGTGAGGGCATGAGGAAGATATGACTCCATGGGAGGCCCAAGATGAAACAGAGTCCTGCTGGAGACCTGTGGCACATGGAGAGAGAGACCTACGCTGGAGCAAGTCATCCAGGGAAGGATCTTGTGATCCCAGTGAGGGATCCATGCTGGTGCAGCTGAATTTGTGACCCTAAGGGACACTACAGCACGGAAGAACTGTTGCCCAAAAGTAGACTCACGCTAGAGAGATCCATCAAGGGCTGTCTCTCATGAGGAGGGACCCCACAAGAAATAGGGGTGGACTTAAAAGTCATTATCCCTTGTGACCCTGTGGTGAAGACCATGGTAAGGCAAGTGTCCTCTTTCAGTCCATGGAAGATCCCTATAGGGCTTGGGTAACCCTCAGCCTCTGGTCTTAGCCCAGGAGGGGGTAAGCCCGGCCCTGAGGTGAACATAGAAGGGAGAGAGAGAGAAAGACAGTTCCAGCTGCAACGATCCAGGGCTGTCATCCTAGAGATAATAGGAGAGGAACTTTCAAGCGCTGCAAAATTATTTAGAAGACCTGTAGCTGTGGAAATGGAAAAGAGACTGCTTCTCCTCCTGAACCGATACAAGGGGGGAGGGATACTTCTGTAAATACATAACACTTTTACCTAATTAGAATTGTTGTATATATAGTTCTTTAGTTTTTATCTTGCTAGTAATAAATCCTAATATTATTCTCCCCACATCATATGTCTTTTGCATAAACCTTCTCTCAACCTGTAGCAATTGTGTGAAGAGTGAGAAAAATTAGCCCAGAGTAAACCCATGACAATCTAAATGCTGGAATCTTGACAAAAAATGTAGCTTTAATTCTAGAGAGTTTAGGGGACTTTCATTTGTGTTTAGGTAGAGAAACTGAATTCCTTGTGGGGAAGCAAGGCAGTATTCCTTTTCAGGCTTTTCTATCTTATTACTTTTCCCAGCTGGCAGTATGACTAGTTTGTTACCTAGTAGAAAGAGTAATGGAATTGGAAAGGCATGAACGAGGTTAAGTATCTTGGTTTTATCTAAAATTGAAGTCCCCTGATATTTCCTGATGAAGCATATGATAGTATAGAGTAAATTAAAAGAGAAACCAACTTGGACAAATGTCTGACAGGCATCTCTTGATGGTTCTTCTTAATGAGGAGTAACAGCTCTTTCTTTTCTTTCTTTTATCCAATTCATCAGGGCAAACCAGCCCACAGGTCTTTGCAATAAAATACAAAACAATTTCTAACCCCAAAGACTGTGTCAATTTAAAGAGCAGTTTTACAAGCACAGTGACAGTCTATTGCACTTCTTTAGAGAGTTCATTTTTGGTGTCAGTTATAGCACCATAATGTGCACTGTGTTATTGTTCTACTTAGTGAATTGCTGATGTGTATAATGATGCACCTGTTAGTCAAGAAATCCCTCAAAAGCCAAACAGTGCTATAAAATTGACATACTCACACACAGCCAGAACTGTCAGGATGTTTCCTCTGCATTAGGCAATATTTTCTGCTTTATGGCCATTAAAGACTACAATAAAACAGCTGTTGCTGAGTGGTATGTTGTCAAATATCAGTGAAAAGCATTGAGAGGATAGCAATGTGATGCACAGTGGAACAGCTAAGGATGGTCAGTGGTTTTGTTTTCAACCCTGTTTGTTTGGGTTTTTTTCTGTGTGTATACGTCTTTGCCCTAGGCAGGAACTTTCCAGACAGCAGATAAGCTAGGCCTATCACTGCATTCTGACTTCTTTGTCTCTCTGATTGTTAAGCTGGACTGCCTTTATTACCGTGGTGAAAAAGTGAAAAGAGAAAGACAACTTCAATAAGGAACTTATTTAATGCATATTTTTCCAGGAGCACTTTGAATAATAGGGAAGCTTGGAGCATTCACCTACACTCCTGTATATCTCTTGGCCACCTGTGTTTGGGAATGAGGCTTCCTGCCATTTTAAGGAAGATCTCAGGATCTCCTCCAACTTTCTGGCTCTTTTTGGAAGCTTTTTTACTGATAGAGCAGAGGGGATAGATGATCATCTGAGATCTCTTCACTGTACAGGTCCCTGTATCATGGAGGGTGTGCTTCAAGCACCAGAGGTGTGAAAGCCTGGTCTCCACAGATGGCCCGTGAATACTCCTATGGAGAAGAAATGTAAGTAGAAATTATCATGACCTTAAATGCCATTCTATGGAGCCGCATAGTGTTTATCACCAGCATAGTTTGAGGATCACATTTTAAGATAACCTAAAGAGATAGGAAAATATTATTTCTTTATATGAGTACTGGAAGTAACATTTTTCTTCAAGTAGCAAACATATATAAAAGCTACTGCCTTCAGAAATGTCTTAGTACTTTCTCCTACAATTGCAGATATGTCACAAAAATACACAATTTGTTACAAAAGATTGATGAGAATCAACCATGCTAAGTTCCACTTCAGTTCTGTGGAACAGGACCAAGCCTCTTTCTTTAGATCATGAGCCAGCACCCTGATTGGGTTTAAGGATCTCTTAATATAAGGAACACATTATAACTTGAATAAGACAAGACAGCAGAGATGAACAAATTATTAGATACATTTTGATATAAATATGACTTTCTCTTGTTTTTAAAAAATAAACCAGAGAGGGAAAAAATTAGGTCGACATGAAAGCCCACTGCAGATATTATTTTCTAGCTAAACAAAAGCAAGGTCTATTTCAACTGTTTCAACTGGCCTCAGTTTAGAAAAATGAGGTCTGTGAAATACACAACAATCTGATTATGAGAGGCACCAGAACAGCATGATCTTTGAATACTATTCAGCAGCACAAATTGTCTGTTAAATTATTGAAAAAGGGTAACTTAAATTCCAATTCAGTAATTAAATTATCTCTTCTGAAGACAAACTATTCCCTATTTCTTAGGTAATAAACTGCATCTGTTTTCCACAGGCTACGCATATAGCACCCCCTCAACTTCTATGATTAAACATTTTTTTCTTAGAAGGTGGGAAAGTAACCGTCTGGAGGCTATTGAAATCAGCTGTTCATTTACCAAAGTGACTTGAAGCTGTAGAACAACAGAGTAAAGAGTAACAAAACATTCTCTCAGGTAAGTGTTCTTTGAAATATATGGAACGCAGAGTTCCACATATCTCAATATTATAAGTTAAAATAGGATATTTTTCTTTTATTTCCAACCTTCCAGGGCCCTGCTCTCCTATATTCCCATTTTCCTTCTCTCTGTCCCTGCATGGAAATTTGTTAGACTCAGTAGTTTTTTGAGAAAATTTCCTCAACAAGTTACAATGTACTCTGGAAATTCATTTTGCAATGTTTATTACACTGTTGGTTACTCAGCATGAGGGTATTTGCATTTCTGATAAAATAAAATAGTACATCTAGAAAGATATTTGCTAGTATGAACATTAGGATTCCTGTGATGTTGGGTAATAAGAACTTTGAATCTATTTTTGACTCTCTTGGTTCCTCTAAAATGGATGTATCCTAAATTCTCTATTCAGTTATTCAGTTATTATTATGTGCATTTGAAATATATGCATCCCTATGAGTACTAAATAAAGAGATAACAGAGAACAATTTCTTATTCCGCAAAGAAGGAGAAAAGTTTTTAATTTCTTTGCTTCCAAATAAATTCATTTGGTTTAAAGTGCTAATTAAGAGAACAGATATTTGAGAATACTATTTGAGAATTTAATCTCAGCTAAGTCTAAATTTGCAGTTCATGTTTCAGAACAATTGTGATTATTTTTGTTTAATCCCATTTAATTAGTTTAATTAATTTAAATTTATTATTGTTATCTTAAATGCAGACAGTATCCTAGGATCAGCAACCACAATTCCCATCTTGAAATCAAACAGTCTAAATATACTGTGCACAGACTTAAACTCAAACTGCAGCCAAACTCTTTTTTACTTTGGTTCTGTTCTTTGAAAGGATTGAATCACCATCCATCCTGGTCTTGCTGTCCAGGGATTGAGACACTCTGTCTAAACAAAGAAGAGGTAACTGGATCCTCTTACACTGAAGAGCAGATGAACTTCCCACTGTCTGGTTATAAGCTCAGACTGCTGTTGTATGATCACCATTGCTGAGATTTTAAAGGAAATTGAGAACCTCACCCAGTTAATAGGAGTCCAGCCCTGGATCCTGAAGGAGAGCAGGTATTTATTCTCTGGAGATGGTCTGAAGGCTATGACTTCTAAATAGAGGTTTATTATGGGATATACTTTGGACCCTGGATGAGATATCAATGTTTCACTAATCCTGATGCAAAATTTGTAGGTATGTGTCAGCATTCTGGCAGAACTTGTGTACTTATGAGTTTGATTGAGAGCTAGGGAACAGTAATCAGAAGCAACAATTGGGGGTCCATCTATTAAGGAAGAAATTTTCAAAGGGACCAAATTTTCAAAAGGATCCTATATTCATAGCATGTTATGCAACAGGAAAGTAGTCTTTATATAGTCTTTAACCTTTGGAAATAAAGATACTTTTTCACCCTAATATTTCAAGAAATTTTTTTTCTATTAATTTTTTTTTCATATATACTGTTGATGCAGATGATTGATTGTTCTGCTGGCACTTTTAAGAAACGTTTCTTTTGCTTCATATTTTCATATTTCAGAACAAAAGAGTAAATCTCCTTTAAGTTCTCAGCACACAATATTTCATGAGTATATGGAGCAGGAAATTGTTTTGGATAACATCCTGAGTAAAAGGTAGCAGATTTGACTAGCGATTCCTTTTTTAGGGATAAGGAGCTATAAAACATATAGGAATTCCCTTTTTAGAAAGTGATTTTGTGAATAGTTTCCTTTATATTTAAGGATTATCTCCTTTATTCTTAAGGATTAAAATGGAGTAATTAAAACCCTTTATGTTTGAAGACTTCAGCTTTTTGGCCTTCATGAGTTCTTGTGACAAAGAGATTCATAAGCTTATTAAATACTGTGTATTAAAGTATTTTAACAGTTTGTATGGTTTTCTATTTCTATTTCAGCTTATTGGATTCTTTTTAAGACTAAAAGGTATATTTTGTTGACATTACTTTTCCTTTACTTCTAATATTTCTATCTTATAATTTTAAGGGATTCTATCTCCTGGCTTGTTTCAACTGAACTGGTAACAGAATGTTTCAGAACACTATTAAAAAGGTCAAGACGTTGAAATAACTTAATTTCTGGTAAACCTGTTGTAGCTCCTGTACACTTACAAAGGCATAAATTCTAAATGATGGTTCATGTTCCTCAGGAGAGGAGTTTCTTTTGCTACCTTAAAACTTTACCATGGAAATATCTACATTTCCTTCCCCCCCCCCCCCAGAGAAATGAAAATTATATTGAACCCCAAGTATACTGCTTTGATACTCTTTCAACATCTCATGACCTTCACTGATTTTTCAGTGAATAGTTTATTATAGATATAACAAACATGCTAATTCACCTGACTGACAGTATCTGTCTCAAGCTAATCCATGACAGATAACCCAAATGATATTTTAATGTTTAGCAAGGAAAAGAGGGGAAGAGCATAACAGGAGTTCCATTATACTTCAGAAAACATGGTGATAAGTGGAGATGTGCTGTGTTGTAATTTGTGAAGTTAACTGGGATGATTGGTAAAGCCGAGAGGCCACTGTGACGAGCTCCTCTCTTGAACTATATGTCACAGTTCAGCTGTGTATAATAGTTTGAAACTAGATTTCATGTTTCATGGTAAATATTAGAAAGATACCATTGCAGTGATTGCTTTGAACACACTGTAAAATAAGGAAAGGGTGCTTAACTTCCAGGGAAAAGAAATTCAGGGTAAATTATTTCAGTTCTTTGCGTAATGAAGTGGCCAGTTATACATAACCTTGAATCCTCTCCTTCTTCCGTCTCCAAAATAGGTTAAGCACTCACTGTAAATATGAGCTCAGATTTGTTTAAATATTTGGTGTTAACCCTGTAATGAGTTGTCTGTGGTAAACAAGCTGATTAAATGGTTAGAAAATTTGTTTAATGAATTTTGTGTTAAAACATATACATATATATATACACATATATATATTAGAATATCTTCTCTGATTTCCTCAATTTTTCAGCTTTAGATTTCAGAAAACTTCATTTAGATAATCTAACATTTCCAGCTCTAATCTCTGCTTGAAGAGGAATGGCTAAAATTTTTCAGTAAGGAGATACTGCCAGCAACAAAGAAACCCACTAGTGAACAAACAACAGAACAACCAAACCAACAACCTTCAGTCTTCTCATAAACCTTTAGTCAAGGATTTATGGACATAAGAGGATGTTACTGAACTTTACAAACTAAAGAAAATCATAAAGGCAGAATACGACTCAATGAAATACTGTTTGAAACAGTCAGTGAAGATGACCTGAGCAGTGACAGCTGGGCATTTGTAGAAATCAGGTACCATCTTGAGAGGTAGGAATATTCCTCTATGTCAGAGAATTACTCTTTTATTTTCGCTTTTATTTCAACCATTTGTAAATGGATAAGTTACTGAATGCACGCTCCTTACTGTCAACCTTTAATTAGCTGTGAAACCTTCATCTTGCAGAGGGAGCTTTCTTTGCCCTAAGAGGCTTGCTTTCCTTCACTTTGAAGTACCTCTGGCAAGACATGTCCCTTTCAATAGCTTCTGTTCTCATATGACTCTCAAAATGCCTGGCAACATAATTTTTTATTCTCACAGCTTGATACTGCCTTTATATTGCTTTGCATCCTACAGTGAAATATTTGTTATTGAATAAACTGTTCTCTGAATCTGTGGATGCTGTTCAATTCCATGTATTGCGTTCCCTTAGAATTAAACTCTCACTTGGAAATGTAATTAACATCCTATGATTTCTAGGAATGAAAAGGGGAAAATAAATAAAACAGTGAGTGATTTAACTGTCTATATGACTCGAGCTACTGTCACCACATGCCATAACAATAGGACAAGAACAACTGATCTGATGCCAGAAATGTGGAAAAAAGCAAACCTGACTTTGCTTTCAAACCTACAATGTAGACTTGGTTTGAGAAGGTGGGACAACATCCAGTCCATCTCCCAGCTTCCTGTGTTCACCACCTAAAGGCTATAAGGACTGCAAGAGCAGGAGACTGCAACAAATACATACTCCCAGAAGCTGTATTACTCTCTCCAAGGCAAAATATAGACACAGGAAAGATCTAAATCAGCTAACAGTACTGCTGTGGCTGGTAAATGGTATCTCATCACAACTCCTTGAAATAGTATAAAAAGGCTATTTTTTATGGCAAGAAATATAGTTACAGCCTAGGGAAGTGCTTCCCACTGTGCACATTTGGTATTTCCAGCTGTAACAGAATTAGACACGCTCTGGCATGGTCTAGCCTGTGGGCTGCTGCTAAAAGGAAACTTAAAATATTAAACCATTGCACTGGTAACCGAGAAATCAGGATGTTCCATATCAGTTAAGGCAAGATGAATTGAATCTTTGGACCTCTGTAAGAAAAAGTACTGAAGAAAAAGAATGCAGAAAAAAGGACCCCAAATGAGTTTTGCTGCTCCACCTGTAGTTATTTAGCACCTTCTGAAATAAATATTCTGAGTATGCAAGATATATACATTCTAACCAAATTAGATAGAAGAAACGGTGAAATGAACAGCATATCAGCTCTTTATTAGAGGAATAACATGCCATTGAAGAGAATATATAAACTACAAAATTACTGAGGCTATTAATCCATGCCAATATCAGGGGTTTTTTTTAAATGCTAAAAATAGTCATAACACATTTTTAAAATCCCTTTTCCATTTACCAGCATATCAAGATTCTCCTACCTTCTGGTCTTGCATATGTCTTATACTTGCCCTTGAGTTAGAAACAGTGTGTGGTTATACCTCCAGAGGGGCAGAACAGTGACAGGATTGTTATTCTTTATTGTAAGGTTTGATTTATGATAGTGATTTGAAAATGTTAGTTAACTTTTATGATACACAGTTTGGGAACCAAGGGGTTAATCAGAGAGAACATTTTAATAACCTGTTCTTACTAGTATAATCATGGTGTGAGAATTATAATGTGAAGTCCAAAGTCTTATCTCAGATTATACAGTGAGTCAGACTGTTAGGGTGAGAAATCTTCAAAGCTATCGTAATAGATAAGATTATTACATGTTAGACATGACTGAAACATGTGGTTTTAATTTAAAATCTGAACTGTCACCTTATTTTTATTTTATGTAACTTTACTGTGATTTCAATAGGTTTTGTAGAAAGTTTTTGCAACCATATATTATTAATTTTACATTACCTTTAAAAAACATAAAACAAGAGCTAGTTGAATCATAGTTTCTAGAAAATTACCTCTTTACTGATTAATTTGCTGGTAGATAATGTGTCTTGATACAGACATATTCTTGTTGACTTGCAGTCTTTTCTAATTATAAGTGAGTGGTTCAGATGATTGATATTATTTGATATTACTAGTATAAGTACCCAGAGATATCAAAAGAAAATAGACCTGTTGCTTTAGTATCTAGGCAGGTATAATGTCTATTAAGAGAAGACTTAAAGCCTGATATCAGGTCAAAACTGTACTGTTTACTGTGATTCAGCTGTTTTATACCAGGGGAAGATGAATTCTGGGCATTTTGGGGGAAGCCCACGTGGCTTGTGTCAGGCAGACGAGATGATCTGGGGCCCTTCCTCAAAGAGCTGTGATGTTACTTGCTGCAAGACTAGGCTGAACCAGTCTCATGGTAGGTCCAAGAGCTGACAGTTTCTGTCCATTGCCAGCTGAGCGTCATTTCTCTGTAGATCTCTCAACTGGTATAAATAAGAAAATCAAAGGCTGGAGAGTAAAAAAAACCCCAAACAACTCTATTCAAGAGAGTTGAAATGACAAATGGAACCAAAAGCAGAACGAGGAACTGAATTCTCTCTATCCTGTTTCCATGCTGATTATATGCTTGAGCTGCCTTTTCCAGTTTCGAACTTCCAACGTAGTTTATTTCTTTCTTCGTGCTATAAGTTTGCTCACATATTTATCTTTTCCAGTTGCAGAACAAAACCTTGAATGGGGATTGGAATATTACAAACTCATCAGCCACCAGAAGCTTAGTCTTGATAATACTCATTTAAGCAAAATTTATATGCAAATTTTATATCTTACATAGAAACCTGCTT